GTTTTGATAATAGTTATCAGTTTGATAATCAAAACGTTTTAGTAAATTTTTCTGAAACAAATCTCTTTCATCTCCTACAGACGACTGTAAAACGTGAGCTTGAAAAACACAAGGGTCTAAGATTGTTAGTGCAATATCACGTTATATTTTCAAAACTACTTGTGACGGAAGAATCTACTAACAAGGAAATTGCAGACCCTTACATCAACGCAAAATCTAGACGTGTTTTACTTGGTAGTGATCTTTTGTCACTATCTAATGAAATACACCAAGAAATTTGGAAAAAAATAGAAGAATTTACCGAATTAGGTTCGGGTTGGAAGTTTGAAATGATTAAGGAAATTTTGTTTCACACGATGAAATATGACGCATTACGCGGTAGTTCGTATATCGACCTGCCACCAAAAATAAAAAATAAACAGTGCTGTATAAACATAAAAAACGTCGATAGCAAATGTTTCCAATGGGCTGTTCTTTCCGCGCTATTTCCAGCAGAAAAAAATGCTGATCGTGTTGAGAAGTATATCAGTCACGTGTCAAGATTAAATTGTGCTAGTATTGACTTTCCAGTGGCAGAAAATCAAATACCAAAGTTTGAAAAGCAAAATAATATTTCGATTAACGTTTTCGGATTAGATGAAAAAGAAAATGTCTATCCGAGGTATATTTCAGAAAAAGCTTCACAATCGACTATCAATTTACTGTTTTATAAAAATCATTACGTTTGGATCAAAAACTTTAACAGACTAGTTGGAAGACAGTATAATAAAAATAACAACAAAAAGTTCTTTTGTTATCGCTGTTTGCACGGTTGTAGAGACAATGAAACATTACAAAGGCATTTGCAGTACTGTAGTGACGTACAAAGAATATCAATGCCATCTAAAAAAGATAGCGTGTTACAGTTTGTCCATCATAATCATAAACTAAAAATTCCTTTCGTCATATACGTCGATTTCGAATGCTTACTTCAACCTGTACTTGGCGTAGAAAATGATCCTAACCAATCGAGTACAAGAAAAATTCAAAATCATGTTCCGTGCGGAGTAGCGTACAAGGTAGTTTGTTGCGCTGATTCGAGATTATCTAAACCAATCCAACTCTATCGTGGTAAAAATCCAGCTGTCTGGCTTCTCAAGCAGTTGATTAACAAAGTTGATAATATTACTTATCGTTTGAAAAAAGTAACTCCAATGTTAAAATTAACACCTCAACAAGAATCTGATCACGAGCAAGCGAAAATTTGTTATATTTGTGAAAAAGCTTTTGATGATAACAAAAAAGTACGTGACCATTGCCATTTGACCGGACAGTATCGTGGAGCGGCTCATGACCAGTGTAATTTAAAATTTCACGCTCCAGATTTTATTCCAGTTATTCTTCACAATTTTCGAGGATATGATAACCATATTATAGTAGAAGCTTTTGGTGATCCTGATATAAAATCTCGTCTAAAACTCGATAACATCATCAAATGCATCCCAAATAATTTTGAAAAGTACATGTCAGTTACGCTAGGTAAATTGCGTTTTATTGACAGCCTGCAGTTTATGGCAGCCTCGTTAGATGAGTTAGTGAAAGGTTGTAGTAAATTTGATAACCTAAGAGACTGTTTTGGAGATAAATTTAATCTATTAGCTAAAAAAGGAGTTTTTCCATACGAATATCTCGACGATTGGAGTAAATTTGATGAAACATCTTTACCTAGCAAAGACAAATTTTACTCACAACTTAAAAATGAAAATATAACTGATGACGAGTACAAGTATGCACAAGATATCTGGAAAGAGTTTGATTGTGAGACTTTTGGTGATTATCACGATTTGTATTTGAAAACTGACGTGTTATTATTAGCAGATGTTTTTGAAAGTTTTCGAGAAGTCAGTTATAATAATTACGGACTAGATCCTTGCTGGTATTATTCTGCCCCCGGACTGTCATGGGATGCTCTGTTAAAGTTTAGTAAGGTAAGGTTGGAATTACTGACTAACGTTGATATGTTCAATTTTATTGAAAAAGGTATCCGAGGCGGTATTAGCGTGATAACGAAGAAATATGCTGAAGCAAACAACAAATATTTGAAAGAGTATAATCCTGACCTTCCTTCGAAGTATATAGTTTATCTAGATTGTAATAACTTGTACGGGTATTCGATGGCAGAACCAATGCCGTTTGGTGGATTTCATTGGATCACGGCTGATCAATTTCTATCAGAGACAGAAAAAAAGATACCCGACGATGTTTCGTATTTCGTTGAAGTTGATCTCGATTATCCAACTTCGCTACACAAATTACATAACGATTACCCTTTCTGCGCGGAATCGATGGTCATAGATTATAGTTTGTTATCAAAAGAACAACAAGCGTTATCATCACCAAGGCAACATTCTATGGTAAAGAAACTAGTACCAAATTTGCTTCATAAACGTAATTATGTTTTGCATTACAAAGCTTTAAAACAAGCAGTCGATGCTGGTCTCGTGTTGAGAAAAGTTCATCGCGTACTAAAATTTAATCAGTCACCGTGGATGAGAGGTTATATTAACTCGAACACTACAAGAAGAGCTGCGGCAAAAACTGATTTTGAGAAAAACTTTTTCAAACTGATGAACAATTCTGTTTTTGGTAAGACGATGGAGAATATTAGGAAACGCGTAAATATCGAACTAGTCAATGATGTCAATCGCAGAAACAAACTTGTGTCAGACGATGATTTTGTGAGCATGAAAATTTTTAATGAGAATCTTGTTGCGATACAAAGAAGAAAAACAAATCTAAAACTAAACAAGCCGATCTACGTTGGAGCTTCAGTGTTAGATTTATCAAAGTGGCTGATGTATGATTTTCATTATAATTTTGTTAAAAATCAATGGCCGGCTAGTAGATTATTATTTACTGATACTGATTCGCTCGTATATGAAATCGAATGTGAGGACGTCTATCAGGATATGCATGATAATAGATATCTGTTTGATCTTTCCGATTACCCACGTGACAGTAAATTTCATGACGACACAAACAAAAAGGTTATTGGTAAGTTCAAAGATGAAATGAACTCGAGCGCTATCAAATACTTATCGGATTACGTAGTAAAATGTATGCCGTATTGTTAGACAATAATAAAATAACAAAAAAAGCAAAAGGTCTGCCTCGTGATTTTGTTAAAAAGTTTATAAAATTTGATGACTACAAGTACGCGCTTGATGGTGGTGTTAGTTTTATAAGAGCTATGTCAATTCGGACAAATCATCATAAGCTCGAAACAGATGTCCTTATCAAACGCGGTTTGAGCAATTTTGATGATAAACGTTATTGCAAAAATGGGGTAGATACATTTGCACTTGGGTATTGTCATGATGATAGAGATATATTTGACATTATCTTTGCAAACTAAAATTTTATCTAAACTTTAAAAATAATGTTTGAAAATTGACAGTAACAAATAGCTACAGTAGCAAAATCAAATATCTAATGATGGACGACAAACCATTGACAGTTGAAATTAATAATGAAACATCAGGCATATGCTTTAGTGGTACCCGTGACAAGTTAAAACTTTCGCTCATCAGATCTGATGACAGCGAGTATTTTAATTATCTCGAACAATTGTATCAAAAGTTGCTAGCGGAATTTAACAACTTTCACTGTCAGATTAGTCAGCAAAAATACACCAAACTTACAATTGATCTTGATCGGTCAAAGTTGTAATTTATCGACAAAAAATACCCTCTTAACAAATCACAAATAAAAGATTTGTTTGAGTCCCGTCGTTATGTGAGCGGTAAAATAAAGTTTAGCCTCTATTACCATGATAATGAAATATTTTTGATATCTACAGTTGAGACATTAACAGTTGGTAATGAGGTATAATACCACTTACCTTACTGGAATTCTAATGCGTAATTTAGTCCACAATCACCACGCTCTTCTAAATCGTAATGATTTGGAAAATTGAGTCTGACATATCATTTTGCTTATTCTGGAAGATCACGTAATTAAATTTTACCTGTTACCTAGATATTTTGCAACAGGTGTTCTATTGTATTTGTTTGGAGGTCTGGAGGGGTTGTTGAGCTCGGCTTCTTAACGCAATTATTGATTGCAACAGGTGTTCTATTACGTTACCTAGGTATTTTGTATTTGTTGAGCTCGGATTCTTAACGCAATTATTGATTGCAATAGGTTTTCTATTACGTTACCTAGGTATTTTGTATTTGTTTGGAGGTCTGGAGGGGGTTGTTGAGCTCGGATTCTTACTTTCTCCTACTACTAAAGTTATTTAAGAACCGGAATTTTCATGAAATGCTTTTTATTTACTTTCTTCTTCTCTTCTTTCTTGTATGATCTATTAAAATACAGAAAAAGAAATATGTTGAAAGTATTAAGTTCGGAACCGCCCCTCCATACACACGCTTTTTCTTTGTATATGTATGTATGTGTGAGTCAAAGGTGTTACACGTGTAAAAGAAATGTTAACATTTATATGTACAAAAGCTGTGATCCACTTATGTAAAACATAACAGTTCCCGCCTTGTAAAACATATTGGGTTACAAGAATTTTTCCAAGCTATAGCAGCTATGGATCAATAAAACATTTTGCAATCGCATATGGTATTACTTTGGTGTATGTATGTATGTATGTATGTATGTATGTATGTATGTATGTATGTATGTATGTATGTATGTATGTATGTATGTATGTATGTATGTATGTATGTATGTATGTATGTATGTATGTATGTATGTATGTATGTATGTATGTATGTATGTATGTATGTGATATGGATTATTATCGTAGCTTTAACAATTTTTGCTACGATGTCTGCAAGGTGACAGTTTAGAGTGAGTCTAGCACTGGGGCATCATGCCGCAGACATGTAGCATGATGTCCCACCCAGTCACATTATTAAGAGACCAGGCAGACCAGTCCTGACACTAACCTATTAATGCTGAGCGCCGAACAAGGCAGCTATTAGTACCATTTGTATAAGTCATTGGTAGGACTCGGCCGGAGTACGAACCCACGGCCTTCCGCATCTGAGGCAGACACTCTAACTACTTGGCCACCGGAGCCGCCTTGCATGTATGTATGTATGTATGTATGTATGTATGTATGTATGTATGTATGTATGTATGTATGTATGTATGTATGTGTCTATGTATGTATGCATGCATGTATATATGTATGTGTGTATGTATGTGTTTATGAATGGATGTAAGTGTAAGTGAAGGTATGTGAATGTATGTATGTATGTATGTATGTATGTATGTATGTATGTATGTATGTATGTATGTATGTATGTATGTATGTATGTATGTATGTATGTATGTATGTATGTATGTATGTGTGGATGGATGAATGGATGTTGTTTTCGTATCATCTTTGTTAGTATATTATGTTAACGTTTCGTAGCCGATTGCACAATAGTTTTTGTATTCTGTCAGCGGTTTAAAGGTCTTTTCAGATCGCTGTTCGCAGGTAGTTGCTTAATGTTTCACAACACACTTAAAAAGAAAACAACATAAATCGTTTAGGTTTCACTGGACTTAAAAGTAAGTGGGACACAGAAGACGATACTCTGTAAAACGTTGATCCCGAAATGTACACATTTAGAAGATACTAAGATCAGCCGGACCAATTTAGACTGTCCTCTTCTTACGTCCTGTGTTAATAATTATTTGATGGTACTCTTACATAGAAGTGTCACTACTTCCTGTTTGTCTGCCGCAAGTGCCTTAAACTTCATCGTCGCAATCCACGGGACATAATCCTCTTTGCACCTTTATCTCCCGTAACTGATTGTACGGATACTTCCTTTCTCGCGTATAAATGCTTAACCAGTTACTGGGAACGGAAGTACATTTTTCTCTCTTTTGTGTCGCAAGATAACCTGCGACGCTATTGGAGACCGGTAACGCTATTTGATTGAGTCAGTCCAAGTTTCTTTGCCAACTTCAGTCACCTATCATTAGATCAAACCGACACTTTTTATTTTCGTGATTGATTGATATATTGTCCTATTGATTACTTATTTTGTTTATGTCCACTCATGAAAATGGAGGTAATCTCATAAAAAGGATGATAAAGGTGCGAAGTGGACTATCGCCCGTGGTTTACGACAATAATTCACCTGTAACTGTATCTATAGTCACGTAGTTACATAAAACGTAGAAATGAACTGTAAGAATTGGTCAGCTAGAAGTGTGTACTTTGTGCATTTCTTCTCTGCTTATGAACAAACATGACTAATTAAAAATATCCTCAATATAATAACGCCATAAATTTCATTTTTGTGTACAACTAATAACTTGGAAAGTGAATTAAAGCACTGTTATACTTCCTTTCATGATGAGATATTGAAATATATGTGGGAAATTTGTAACATTGGCGATATAACTTTACGACTTGCCTTCTTTTCCCATTTAGTAAATATATATGCCCTTATGTATGTTATTTAAATTTGTATTTCCATATTTAGATCCTTTAATTTTTCCTCTCTCTCTCTCTCTCTCTCTCTCTCTCTCTCTCTCTCTCTCTCTCTCTCTCTCTCTCTCTCTCTCTCTCTCTCTCTCTCTCTCTCTCTCTCATGAACAGATCTGAAAATGTATCAAGACTGTAGATCCTCTAGTATAAATTTATGTAACACCAAAAACGAGATGGCATTCGAAATTGCCTACAAACGAACTCCGAACAAAAAGTGTAGGATTAAGTAATAAATTTTTTAAAAAAATAAATGTTTATCACATGAATCATGCAAATGATTAGTGACAACTTGCACGACATGTTTCTGTTCGATATTCCGTGTTACCCATAGTGTATGCATCAATCCTTTTACACTCTGCGATACATTGTTAGGAAGAACCTTGTACTTATCTATCGTAAAAAAATACTCTCTACGCAATCATAATCATGCTGAAATTGTGGTGAATTAGTTCATTGATGAGCGTCAATTGCAAACCGAAATAAGGTGACAATCGGAATTTGGGTGCAGTATGTGCTACTAAACTAAACGGCTGGCTTGTCAAGGCCAAACATTCACATTTGAATGCAGAGATAAACAAATCAAAGAACGATTCAGAAAACTGACAGCCATTACAATATTTTGTTTAAAGATGTTACTTTCTGAAATCTGTCGAATACGACCACTCTGTGTTATTTCTACTGGTATCACCAACCTCAAAATGCTTAAACAAAACTTTAAAAAATATCTTCTAATTTTCTTTTTAAAAAAGTAATTAATTTTACAACAAAACAATTTGAAGCATTCTTATTTGCAAGCTAAATTTGTAAAAGTTCGCTGTTAAAGATTTCTTGTATAATTTCGGAACATCATTTTTTCGAAATAGTAAAAAGGTCGTTTTTCAGACTGGTAGAGGATGGAGAAAGATATCCATGCACTATTTGTCTTAAAAGTATAAATTAAAAAGAAATTCTGCTTTTGTTTTAGAGTAGATGAAAGGAAATATTTTATTCATGAAGTGGAAAGATTTTGCATTGCCAGCCGTTACTTCGCCACTCGTGACATATGTTTGATACTTCTTTACCTAATATATATATATATATATATATATATATATATATATATATATATATATATATATATATATATATATATATATATATATATATATATATATATATATATATATATATATATATATATATGTTGTGCCAAAAAGAAGACAATAAGCAGCAGACTTGAGTTCGTAGAACCCTTTGCAGGAGTAAGGTGTCCATCACACAAGGCTTATAAATAAACTAATGCTGGAAATGCGCAGATTTATGCCAGTTTGATCAAGCGTCCATTCCTAAGATAGTTCAAAAAGCGTGATTAGTACTTTGAACCCCACTTTTTGCCAGTTTTTTTTTTCTCATCGGCCGCTGCAAAACAACAGCAACAAAAAAAGAATTTCATCACAGAGTCTTCGTAATTGCAGGTAGTTGTACCTTTTAACTTATCCTTCGAATGTTATCAAAAAAGAACGAAACGGTTTTGCACGCTAGACTAGAAAATAAAAATATGGTAGAATATAGATAATATACCAGAAATATCGTATTCATGAATTCAATGTTTACTCTCTTATAAGACGAGTCCTGGGACAAAATGCACGGACCCAGATTTGCCAGTGCATAATGCGACCTAGGTCCGTGTAGTTTGCAAGGAGTAGTCCGTAGAAGAAGCAACATATACTTTGTTCTTCAGGTCCATTATACTATGGCTGATCAGGATCTTTGTTGTTTCACTTTGACTCGTCTTATAAGCGAGTATACAAGGGTAATAATAAATTACTGTCAAAAGTAAAGTTCTTCTATATTAATAGCTATAAAATGTCCTCTATTTATATTGGTAACATCTGACATATGATCTCGTACATTATATAGTAAATTATTTCCAGTTTATGCCACATATGATATAACATTTTCTCAGTTATTTCTGAACATGCATAGCCATATTAAACAAATAATGTGTTATAACTGTGGTCAGTTCAATAAACTCAATGTTGTTTTTTCTAAAGTTTAGAAATAAATTTAAAAAAAAACTCTTGAAGAACTCTTTTATCAATCCGTACTATTATATGTGAGTTATTCTTAGCATAACTTGTTATCATTTGGCTGTGAAGTATCTATGATCTGTTTTTTAAAATTAAAAAAAAATATAGCAGGTACCAATTTGCAGAAATTGTCCCAAATTTTTTTAAGAAATTTGATACATTTCTGTCGTCTGCTTCATGTTTCTGACAAACATTTTTTTTCTGTTCTTGACAAAACTTAGTGACCAGAATTATAGTTAAGACATGATGCCATTATATTTAAGACCACTCCGGTGGCCTTGTGGTTAGAGCGTCCTCCTCGGAAAGAAGTGGCGGGTTCGACTTCCAGCCGAGTCGTAACAAAGACATAATATAGTACTAACAGCTGCCTCGCTAGGCGCTCAGCATTAAGAAGTTAGTATTAGGACTGGTTCGTCTAGTGTCAGAATAATGTGACTGGGTGAGACATGATGCTACATGTCTGCGGCATTATGCCTTAGTGCTAGACATCGCTATAAACTTCCACACTGCAGACATCATAGTGATATGACTGAAAAATTGATGAAACTACGCTAAAAATCTAAATCACACATATTCCTGTTCTTGTTATATTTAACACATAGCCACCTTCCAATTGCTAAAGCCATTTCAAACCCATCTCCAATAAGCTTGTGATCAACACTGAAAACATTGTACACATTTACAGATCTTTCTTACCCACATGTCAAAAGTCCCTTAATCGTTCATCAAGCCTGTCTTTTTCACGCGGTGAAGTATTGCGCGATGTTTAGCACGCATGCAATATCGCAAACATGCACACAGTCTAACATAGTAGGGAAGTATCACGTAGTCACCGCCTTTTCTTCGATAACTGCACTGATAAAGGAAATGATAATGGTTTAGACCGTTAGTGATGAATGATTCCTCCCAAGCCCGAAATCATAAGATCCTTGAACGTACGTCATTATTTCTTATGCAAAAGCAAATATTTTTTTTCCTCCGATATTCAAACATTTGAAGAGGTCTGTATTTTGTCCGTTCATTTCTATCATGTATACGACAACAACTGACATAAAAAAAAAAAGATTTTGAGTAAATTTGCAAAATTCTGTCAAAGGGCATTAGTTACTATAAAGATCAGCAGCACGCATGTATGTAAACCCTTCATTCTGTATTGAAAGGTGGCGCCTACACTTATTTTGAACAGATAAGACCGTGCAATTTAGTGAATTTGCTCAGACATGTATAAAAATATTAGTGACTATACTGATCATAGAATCTTAAATTATTTTGGAATAACCATCTTTTGAGAAAATGGTGGTAAATATGGGTTTTCTGAAAGAAACTGTAATAATAAATAATAACTAAAGAGAGTTAAAATAGAAAATGTATACGAGTGACATAACCCATAAATTTAATGGATTACGTGTTTAAAATCCTTATTTTTATACCACAGTTACCATAATATTAAATTTATTTATCAATTATGTTTAAATCAAATTTATGTGCCTGCTTTAAAACAAATGAAACCGTGAATTATAT